AAAGAACAATCTTGTCACTTAAGTCTATAACGAGAGCATTTAAAATTCAAACACATATCTTAAAAGTGCTAGGTAAAAGGTAAAGGTAAAGGTTCCCTTGCTCGAAAGCCAGTCGAGTCCGACTCTAGGGATGCGGTGCTCATCTCTGTTTCAAAGCCGAAGAGCCAGCGCTGTCCGAAGACGTTTCCGTGGTCATGTGGCCGGCATGACTAAACACCAAGGCGCACTGAAAAGTGCTAAGGAACTGGTAATTTGTGGCCTTGCCCTAGGCTTGCCAAGTCCCCCTGAGGGGCAGGTAAACCCCTACCCGAGAGGCCCGTTACCCGACACCAGCAAATCGGGCCCCAGGGGGAACTCCACCCCCTTCCGGCACACGTCCCCAGCATGATGATGTCACCCAGAGGTGACATCATCACGCTGGCCACGTTGGGGGTGGGAGGCTCTATGATTTGAGGGGAAACTCTATGGCTTTCCCTCGAATCCTAGTGGCCCCGCCCCCAACATGCCGACTTCCGGGTGGCATCATCGCGGCGGCATGCTACGCACACACAGACTCCCGGGACAGCACGGGACTCCCCCGCGGTACGTAATTTTGGACTTGGCAACCCTACCTTGCCCTAAGATCACGTGACCTTAGTTTGTTCTGGGACAAGGGTTCAAGGCCGCTTTACAAGATGTTTTAGCTGCTCTTCTGTATTCAAATTGCTTTAAGAGATTCTGATAATCCTAGAACATCCTTCGCATCACCTCTGTTGTTTACCACAAGTGACACAAGTGCCGGCTCAGTGCCATCGGGCACCCCAATCCCCACCCCATTTCCTCCCAAAGGTGCTTCAGGTGCCAGGAGGCTTGATAATCCTAACACAAGTGCATCCTCAAACTGTACAAAGTAGGGATTGCCAGGTCCTCCCCGCCACCGCTGGTGCATGGGGGGTAGGGTTGCCAGATCCAAGTGTAATAGATCTCCTGGAGATTTGGGGGTGGAGCCTAGGGAGGACAGGGACTTCAGTGGGGTACGATGCCGTTCATTTTCTCCAGGGGGACTGATCTCTGTAGTCGGGAGATGAGCTCTAATTCCAGGAGATCCCCAGGTCCCACCTGGAGGCTGGCAACCTTAAGGAGTGGTCACAAGATGGGGGTTTGTTTTGTGCACAAGCAAATGGAAAAAGTAGGCAAAAACATTGCTGGGAATTTTAAAAAGCACTGAATCTACCCTTGGTGGCTCCCTCATTATTGAAGGTAAAGGTAAAGGCTTCCTTTGCTCGAAAGCCAGTCGCATCCGACTCTAGGGGGCAGTGCTCATCTCCGTTTCCAAGCCGAAGAGCCAGCGCTGTCTGAAGACGTTTCCGTGGTCATATGGCCGGCATGACTAAACGCCAAGGTTCACGGAACGCTGTTACCTTCCCACCGAAGCGGTACCTATTTATCTACTTGCCATTTCTTCCTTTCGAACTGCTAGGTTGGCAGGAGCTGGGGCCAGAGACGGGAGCTCACTCCGTCACACAGCATTAGGGTCTCGAACTGCCGAACTACCGACTTTCTAGTCTGCAGCTCCGCATCTTAACCTCTGAGCCACCGCAGCCCCCTCCCTCATTATTAGGTCATGGTACAATAAAGGATAAATCACACCTACCTGAATGAGGACTTTTCAAATCAGTGCCCCTTCCTGCCCACACACACGTCCCCCCCCCATCTTGTTACAGGCAAATGAGCATGACAGATGTAGGGCGATGTACGCCCCATAGCCCAGAGATGAGTGGAGAAGTGCAGGCCTTAGATTTATGGACTGGCTGCCTCTTGGGACTTACAAATCTTTCCAGACCCTGGTGTGATTCATTATCATGTCACTGAAGCTGTTTGTACTCTGCAGGAGGTGAAAAGGGTGCCAGAAGGTCTTTTAACCTTGAATGTGCCAAGTTGTAACGATGCCAGTGGAAAGAGAAAGAAAGTGTTTTCTGGGTCTTTCTGGGTCCTGATCTATCCAGGACAGTCCCCACTGCTGCCCGCGTTAAATCATCCTCTGTATTTTGTTCCCTTTTTTTGCATTTCAGGAATGAGAGATGATGAGTGGATTTCTGCAGTTCTATTCCTTCCTGAGAACTGAACAGAACTGAAGGCATAGAACTAAGAAAGGAACAGAACTGAAGAAATCCACTCACTTCTAATTCCTGAAATGCAAAAAAGGGGGGTCTTTTCTGGACCAGAATTGGAAGATGTTCTAATTCAACAGCTGTGCATTTGGCACCAGACACATGACTCTCATCCTAAGAGGCTTCATAAACATCCTTGTCTTGTGTCTATCAACCTTGCTGCTGAACTTTCCGGGGGGAGTTTGGTCCAGTATTTTATTTATTTATTGTTTGTTTGTTATTTCACTGTAACATGGCAACATGTGTCTATCTGTACCCAGAGGTCATTTCGGGGGGGATCGCAGTTCCCCCGGGTGAGGTACGGGGGGGTGGGGCACATGACAAAGTCCTGCCCCCTGCTTCCGGCCGCCCCGCTTCCGGCCCTCATTCAGTCAGGAGGAGGCAGGAGAAGAGGGAGGGTAAGTTGCTTCCTCCCTGCATCTCCCCACCCCTGCCCGCCTGGAGCCAGGGAGGGCCTTCACGGGGCTTCCTTGCACTCCCGCCGGCCTTGCAGGTCCACCGCCAGGCCCCTCATGGGGCTCGGCAGTGGAGCTGCAAGGCCGGCGGCCGCAGCCGGGACCGTTGGGGGCAGGGTGTGTGGCCTTATGACACACTTCCGGTGATTTCAGGGGGTGTGGCATATGCTAATGAGTTATGCTAATGAGTTCCCCTAGCTCTTTTTCCACGAAACGACCCCTGTCTGTACCTCAGATTGTTTGACCTCTTAAGAAGGCCCCCAAGGGGCGGAAACGCATCAAGTCCCTGGTACCGGCCCTTGTGTTCAGGTCACTTGTCCTTTGTAACAAGGCTTTCATTGGCCTCTTATATGTTTTTAAACTGTTTTTCTAATAAATAGTTGTATTTCTGTATACAACAATTATACACTAGGTTTTTAATATTGGCCCTTTATCAGGCTTCTTTCTTATCCTTGTGGTTCTTGATTCCAGGTATTGGGTCGGTCAAGTTTGTTTTCCCCTCCCTGTGTCAAACTGATCACTGTTGCCCTGAGATGTTATTTATTTACTTATTTATTTTATTCGACTTATATCCCACCCTCCTCACATGGCAGGCCCAGGGCAGGTTACGTCAAATTTTATAAAAATGCAATATACAAAATTAACACAATTAAAACACTAGTAAAATAGCACAATAACCTTCATCTGGTGCCGTTGTCGTTGAAATTAAAACCTCACAGATGCCATCGCTGGTACGCAGGTCTGACCTGCTGAGGGGAGGCCCAGTAAAGCTGGAAACTTGAAGCCAATGTAAACGATGCAGAACCAGTGTTGTTACCTGTTCCTGACCGCATGGGAAAAGCTATATGCACCTGTAGGATCTATGCAGACATTCAGCTGAATGCATGTAGGTTAGGTGCAGGGGCTGCTATTGCAGACTAGGGTTGCCAAGTCCATCTTCCACCCCCAGCGGGGGACTTTGGGGGCGTTCCTGGAGGGGGTGGGTCATCCCCGACATGATGACGTCACGTTGGGGATGTCCGCCGCTGCCCCCACCCACCCGTGCGCCAGATCTCCAGAAACGGCAGTTCCCTGCACTTAAAGTAGCTCGTGTTTCCCTTTTAAATGCAGGAGCCGTGTTTCCCTTTTAAGAGCACGAAGCTGGCATTTCCCTGCAAGATCGGGCTTGGGAGGAAACACGGGTTCCACACACTTAAAGGGAGAGAGAGGGGTGGCTGTGGGTGTTGGGGGCGGGGCTTCCCCCGCCGGCCATCTTGCTGACTGCAAGTAGAAATCCCCCCCAGAACGGGGGACCCCTGGCAAACTGGGGGGGGGGGGTTGTTGGCAACCCTATTGCAGACCCATTCCCTAACTTATGCATATTCAACCACTGTAGTTGTTCATCCCCTTCTTGTTTCAAAGGAAGTGTATAAAAAACAGTCCCTCTAATCCCGATCTGTGGCTGAATTGTGATGGGAGGAGATTCTACATACACTTATATTCTTTTACTACTATTTATTGAAATCATTTTTATGCTGCCTTCCCATACAAAACTTATCCGTGGCACTTGACAGAACAAGCAAATAAACGCATAGAGACAGCCATTAAGCCTGTGATCTGTTTGCTGCTTATCCTCAGCAGTTGAGACTTTCCCCAGGGCTGAAAATGGTTGCCAGAAACCAGGATAGCCACTCTAGGAAGACCCTTCAGCCACCTCTACTGCTCCACCTCGGCTGAAAAATGCTTCCAGATGGCAACAAAGAGAACCCAGAGGGGAATGAGTGGCAGAATGGCTGAGACCCAACGTGGGCCTCACAGACAAAGATTCCCTCTGGCATACCCTCCCCCCACCCAGATCCAACTCAGTCATCTTATTGGAAACAAACCATATGACTTGCCCTGCTCCGTGGGCCCCCATAATTTTGTCTCCCTAGCCCCCACTCCCACAGCAGCCCTGGGAACTAGGAAACGACTGATGTTCTAGGGACCATGAGTCCCAATATCATCCTCTTCAGAATTCTCACAGCTGAGCCCAGGTACAGGGCCAACTTCTGGGACAAAGGGAAGACAGCTTATGGTGTGTCCTGAACAGGCAAGACCATTCATTAATTAGCCACTGAACCATCATTCTGTGAAGAAGGGCCAGTCGACCCTTTGGGAGGCTTCCACAGGGACCAAGCGCCAATTATCCCATGAGCCTGCAATCACTGCTGGATTTTGCCATTCCACAGCTGTGCTACCGTCTCAGGGAAATCTGCCCAGAAATTGTCAACATTAAAAAAAAATAAAATCTGCCAAAACCTCCATGAAGCAAGAGAGTCGCTGTGAAAATAAATGCTTTCTTTCCATGTGGAGGAGAGGTTCATTTGTAAAACAGCTGTCCCACAGATCTTTGCGTCTCTGGGCATCCCACCGATCAATCCTTACGGTAGAATGCCCATTGATCCCCACCCTCGTACAGCTCTGTGTTTGTTCTCCAGGCTATTTTGGCCAGCCTTCGGAACCTCCTCAGGTAACAGATGATGGAGAGAAGCAAAGCCGCTTGCAGGAGGATGAAGATGAAAAGGCAGATCTGGGCGATGAGGGCCATGCTGCAGTACCAAGACTGGCAGGTGGCAATGATCTCGTCTTCTGACAAATAGCTGATGATCCTGCCTTGAAGATGGGACGGGGAAGAGCACATCACATTCCGGTAGAGGGTGCGGTTCTGCTGCTGCTGGAGCCACGTGCGCAAATACTGGATGCCGCAGTCGCACTCCCAGGGATTCCCCCACAGGTAAACCACCTGGAGATCCTGCAGGTTGTCAAAGAGCCCCTTGGGGATGGAGGTAAGGTAGTTGTTGGTGAGGTAGAGCTTGACAGTGGAGGAGCTGAAGGAGGTCGGAAGGGTCGCTTCCGTGAGATCCGCTGACATGCAGTCAATGATATTGGCAGCGCACCGGCAGGGCGAAGGGCAGGAGGGGGAAACAAGAGGGAGGAATCCAAGGCAGAGCCAGAGGAATGTCATCTTCCGCACTGAAACACAAAAAAGCCTCAGACTGAGCCACGACAGTGATGCCTGGAAGGAAGCAAGGGGAGTGGAATGGACGGAGAATTGCCCTTGAAAATTAACTGGATCCGCCTCATACAAAAGAGTCCTCTATGAATGGTGATTATTTCATTCCTCCTTCAACAGGCAAAAAATGGCACCTCTAGAGGAGGAGGAGGATTTCTCTAACCAGTCCTCTATGAATGGTGATTATTTCGTTCCTCCTTCAACAGGCATAAAATGGCACCTCTAGAGGAGGAGGAGGAGATTGGATTTATACCCCGCCCTTCACTCGGAGTCTCAGAGCAGCTTACAATCTCCTTTCCCTTCCCCTCCCCACAACAGACACCCTGTGAGGTAAGTGAGGCTGAGAGAGCTCTTTCGGGAACTGCTTGTGGGAGATCAGCTCTGAAAGAACTGTGACTGACCCAAAGCCATGCCAGCAGCTGCATGTGGAGGAGTGGAGAATCGATCTGGCCGAGAAGAAAAGAGGTCTTTCCAATGCGGCGGTGAGAAAGGAACTGGCGGGATGTCCGCGCCTGCCCCTCTGGGCATGCGCAGTGGGGTTCCTGCGCATGTCCAGTGGGGCTTGGCGCGAAAATTCGTTAAAATAGAGCTTGCTACAGCACCGATCGATTCAGCGCGTGCGCACTAAACCCATGGGTGTGAAGCACAGAGACCACGACGAAGATCTGGCTTTTGATAATATGCATTGAGGGTGATTTTTTCACAAGGAGACGGGTCCAAAAGTGTGATGATTCCACATGCAGTCTGTAGTGAACATACAGGCTGATTTCGCACTAGAGCTGCCTCGATGTTGCGCCGTCGTTTGCCCCGATACTATTGGTCAATTTCACATCCGAAGCTGTGGGGCTGCATTTTGACTTGCGGCTTCGCCCGATTTCCCCCACAGTTTCGTGATCCTGTTTTTTGAGGATCACGAAACTGCGGAGGAAAACGGGCGAAGCCACGGGTCAAATGCAGCCCCGCGGCTTCGGGTGTGAAATTGACCAATAGTATCGGGGCAAACGGCGGCGCCACATCGAGGCAGCTCTAGTGCGGAATCAGCCACAAAGTCACCATATACCAAGTCAGATGACTGGTCTAGTGCTCATTGGATGACCTTGGGCCGATCACTGTCCTTCAGCCTAAACCACATCAAATGGTTGTTGTGAGGATAAATTGGAGGTAAAAAAAACCCAACACCTGAGCAGACTCCTGAGCTCTTTGGAGGAATTGTAAAATAAAGATGTAATCCACAGCTATACATGACTGAGACCCAATTTGGTGTATTAGTTAAAGTGTTGGACTAGGATATAGGAGACCCAGGTTCTAATCTTTGCTCTCCCATGGAAGCTTGCTGGGTGACCCTGGGCCAATCATCATTACTTACTTTTATTTATACCCTGCATTTCTCCCCAATGGGGACCCAAAGCAGCTTACATTGTTCCCTTCTTCTCCGTTTTCCCCTCACAACTATTCTGGCAGATCAGGTTAGGCTGAGAGTGTGTGACTGGCCCAAGGTCACCCAGCAAGCATTCATGGCAGTCACATACTCTCAGCCCAACCTACCTCACAGGGTTGTTGTAAGGATAGAACGGAGGAGAGGAAGGTAGGGTAGAAATGAAATTTTAAAAAATATTCTATGACCGTTTCATTTGTTTCTCATTCTAAAGGACCGATGTAGTAACCGTTGGATTTATTTCAAAAGAGAGTATCAGCCTATTGAAGACCTTGACTGTACCCTATAGTACAGATCCCACCCTAGGCTAAATTAAAGACATGCACCTTAGGGATGAAGTTGCTATCCTCTGGCAGTCTTGCACAAGAGAATGGATGGGTGTCCCTTTAGACAGGGGCCGTGGCTCAGTAGCAGAGCGTCTGCTTTGCACACAGACGTTTTCATATCTCAAAAGGCTCAGCTAATTCGTGAGGAGAGCCACTGCCGGCCAGAGTACCGACCTTGATAGGCCAATGGTCTGATTTAATATAAGGCAGCACTGTATGTTCCTTTTTGCAACACTTACATTTTCAGAGACGCTTGCAGGACCACCCCAAATGCACAGTGACTGTTGTTTGCAATCATTGACGATCCCCTAAATTCTGCATGATCCCTAATTTGTACCTCCAGGTTTTAGCCAGCTAAAGCTAGAAACTCTCGGTTCTCGGTCTATGCCTCTGCTGTTTATCAGACAGATATATGCACAAAATCCCACCCCCCTTTCTGGCTGGAGCTATGCTATGTTCTCCATGTTCTTTTGTCGTTGTTGTTCAGTCACTCAGCCGAGTCCGACTCTTCGCGACCCCATGGACCACATCACACCAGGCCCTCCTGTCTTCCGTCGTACTCTGGAGTTTACTCAGTTTCATGTTCATTGCATCGATAACACTGTCTAACCATCTCATCCTTTGACTGATCTCTAATTTGAAGAGATATCCCCAGCTGCCAAGATACCCTCTCCTAATGACCCATTCCCAGGAAGGCCCCGTCAGTTGACAGTCTTAGACAATCTCACTAATGAAGGAATAGATGGGCAGCAGCCATAACTGCATCAATAAGAGATCACTGTGTGGTGATCTTGGGGTACTTTGCAACGTTCCAACATACTGAAGAGGAGAAGAGGAGACTGGATTTATACCCTGCCCTTCACTACCCAAAGGAGTCTCAGAGTGGTTTACAAACTCCTCTCCCTTCCCCTCCCCACAACAGACACCCTGTGAGGTAGGTGGGCCTGAGAGAGCTCTGACACAAACTGCTCTTTTTCAAGAACAGCTGTGCCAGAACTATGGCTTGCCCAAGGTCATCCAGCAGGTGCAAGTGGAGGAGTGGGGAATCAAATCCGGTTCTCCCAGATTAGAGTCCCTTAACCACTTAGAACACTTAACCACTACACTAAACTGGCAGCTCGGATCAAGTAGGAGTGCAACATTGCACAAGCCTCAGTGTTTCCAGCTAAAAACCCTGGCATGCCCCATTAGCAGGGCTGGAAACGGCTTCAGAGAGCCACAGCCAATCAGAACAGACAAAACATGGATAGACGGACTGATGGACGGACCCAACAGGAGGCCGTTTCCTCTGTGATGCAGGAGTGCCCTTCTTGGTTTTCACAGTGTAGCCCTTTGGAGTTGGTACCAGCATGGGGATTTCAATAGCAGTCCCCACCAATGTTCCCTCTAAGCTGAGTTAGTGTGAGCTAGCTCACACTAACTCAGCTTAGAGGGAACACTGGTCCCCACCAACGTTCCACCCTTGTATCCCAACAAAGAAAAACGACTCTGGACTTACTGTTCCCGATTAGTTTCCCTCTAAAACAAGAAGCAAATGTTGCAGGCAGGCAGGCGCTGGGAGAAGCCGCTCTCGCACAGCTGAGCGATCCTGATAATGACCCAGCGTGGACCAGAAAGATAAGGGGACGCCTCTTCCTACTGAATCATTCTCCGGTGATGGCACAATGTTGTCATGCAATGTGGTTTTATTTACATTTTAAACCCGCCCTCGGGGCTGTACACATCGTTCTCCTCTGTTTGATCCTGACAAGCACTCTATAAGGTAAGTGAGGCTGAGAGAGCAGACCTAGTCCCCATGAGGATCAATAGACCTAGATAATGGGGCCAGGCTCAGAGAGGGTTTTTGCTGCAGACCTGGGACGCAATCCCCCCAAGTTTGTAGAAAACTGTGAAAACAAAACAAAAACCCTGGATGAGGGGGGGAGGTTAACTCTCCTCAAACAGAGGAACATTGTCTGTGCAACCTGAGTCTTCCAGATCGTAGTCTGACTCCTAACCAATGTTCCCTCTAAGCCGTGGAGTTTTGTGAGCAGAAATTCTACTTTGTGAGCCACTGGCATTAAAATTGTGAGCGAGTGATTTGGCTACTGCATAAATTAGTTTGCTCTGGAGCCATCCTTCCTGAGCTTAGACAAAAATCTGTGAGCTGGAGTCCAAAAAACTGTGAGCTAGCTCACACTAACTCAGCTTAGAGGGAACACTGCTCCTAACCACTCTACCACTTTGGCAACTAGGTTACCACGTTCTTCTAACCAGCTGGATGCAGTTTCCAGCCGAAAACAGGGTTGCATGCAATGACCTAACTGTTGAGGCAAGGTTTGTTGAAAGCATTATAGAACAGCAGTCTCTGAAGTTTGCTGAATGGGGCCCTCGCTTTCGTACCTTTTCTGAGTCAAACAAGGCTACTAGGCCTTTGAAAGTGCCTGAAGGTCCACATTGTAAAAACCCACACTATAAAATCCTGCACTGCAGTGCTCCATGTAGTCTTCTGCAGAGATGCATTTATGAACCACCTTTACCAGCGCTTTCTTGAGCAACTTATAGCAATCGATAAGTAAGAGATACAACGAGCACTTTTCTCTCCAAGTGGGACCATTGCAAAGTCAGGCAGGCTGTTGGCACTGGATCGATACTGTGCACCTGTTGTTGCAAGCATCATTTCCCAGTGGGAACTGAGCATCCATGATATTGCACAGAAGATTCCGGTCTTCCTCTGACAGATGCTGATACATTGACAGCCACAAAACCATGCTGCCCTTAGTTAAAAAGGAAGGTTTTACCACATCTTGTGCAAGGAGGAAGCATGCTACGGAAAAGATTACCAGAGCCGTACATCTCCAGGTTTAGCAGGGATCCTGGACAAAATTACTTTCTGTGGGCTTCCTCACACATGCACAGGCCTATACGCCTGCATACATACTTGCTAGAGAGAGAAATGGCTTATTCCTGGAGAGCTCCTTCAAGACCAATCAGGTCTGATGTGACTTCGAGGTGGTTGAGAGGCCTGAGCCGCATGACTCCGCCTCTGGGCAGCCCTCCCAGCCAGTAAAAAGAAATATCTCCCCAAGGGCCCCCATAACTTTGCACATCTCAGCTCTAGCTGAATGGAACACCCAGGAGGAAACAGCAAGAGGTGTGCTCTTTCAACATACTTCTCAGCTTCATTTAGTGGGATCTTTTGCCCTGGCAGACAGGATGAGCAGCAGTTCCTCTGTGAATCCCTCCGTGAGACCGCACCAACCTGAATGTACTTGGAATGAACTGTCAAGAGGAGCAACAAGTGCTGATGCACCTGGAATGTTTTCCAGGACTGGGGGTGTTAAAAGAGCAAGCACCTCAAACAATCCCAGGACAATAAAATATCTTTTTATTTCGGAATATTTCCAGAAGGGCCAGACAAGAAATATCCTGCAACAATGGAAGGCAGAGAGAGTTCAGAACAAGGGTGTGACCTTGACCCCCTCCTCCCCACTTTCACGACACCATCCTAGGACTGAAGATGTTTTGGAGAGAAGAGCAGCTGCCTGTACAGCAACCCTGATGTGTGCAGTCCAGCGGCAAGGGGTTCTCAATACTGATAAAAATGTTGGAGAGAGGAAGGGGGAAAGCAACAAAATCTGCAGAGGGGATCGGAGGGGCCCGTAGGGTGAAGGAGAGAAACAGAAACATCAGGGTGGCGATATTTATAGAAGCAAGTGACCACTGCCCCGTGGACTCGGGTTAGGCCACAGTATGGTCTTACCTTGTTTAATGTTCCCAACAAGTTGAACAGCAGTATTTTCCTCAAGACCAGTCAATGAACTTTGCAGCTGAACCTGGATTGCAAGGACTTGGGCCATAAGATATTTTTTCATGTGGCTCTTAAACGTAGGAAGCTAGAGACACAATTTTGGGGACGGGGTGGCAGGGCTTATCTCCACCTTTGGGAAGATTCAGTGAACTGGTTTGGCTGGATGGGAGTGTCATCTCATGGCAGCTAGCTAGTGGGCAATTGTCCACGAGTGGAGAATTTGTCATGTATTGATTTCAAGCGGATTTCCAGAGATGACCGAATTTTGACTATCATGAATTTTCTAAATGAGTAAGTTCTCAAGCTCTTCCTGTTTACATGGAGAAGTTTCACGTGGCTTTGTCTGCAATGTGTGCAAATAAGGAATCTGAAGATGGTAACTTGTGTGTTGGACTCACATTCATCACTGGTGAAAGCTGAACAGGCCTTCCCAGACATGAGTGTGCCAGTTGGAATTGAATCAGAAGTTGTTTGGTCCCTGCTCAGAGAATCAAACCTGCATTGATATCCTCTGCTTGGGACCCTGGAGAGCCACTGCGACTCAGAGCAGGCAATACTGACTTGCAACCAGAAATGTCTTTTGGCAATCCCACCTGGTAGGAAGACAGAGACCATTTCAGTTTTTGTGCCTCTCACTAACCTGGAAAGTAGCCCTCTGTAACATGAAGCAAAAAGCTGCCTTTGAAAATGCAGCTGGTGTAGAACACAACAACTTACCTCTGTACAGGAGTAAGACCATCACCCACATCTGCTAGCAACATTCCTGTAAGCAGATTTTGGCTCTGTATTTTCTTTTTCTGTATTTTTCATATGTGCATGTGTGTATGTGCACACCTGGAAGTCATGGCAACCTCTGATGACTGACCCCTACTGGGGGCCTGGAGGATATTCAAAGAGATGGCTGAATAAAGCCTGCCCCCGCCTCCCGCCTCTGGTATTCCAAGGAGGTCTCCCATCCGAGTACTCTGCTTAGCTTCCGAGATCTGACGAGATCAGGCTTGCCTGGCCTATCCAGGTCAGGGCTTGGCTCCGTATTTTCTACCTGGTTCAGAGATGATACTGATAACGATTTTTGGCTTTTGAGACAATCCCTCCCTTCATAAGGAGACCTCTAAGATAGACACCAAAGCTCACCAAGTTGAGATCGCAAAGCACTGAACCCCGAGGGAGAGAAGTGACAAGTTCTGTTGTGGATATTAATTTGACAGGATATCAAAGGCAGGGATACAGCTTTCAGTTGTTTTGTTTTTTAATTTATTTCACCGATCAGTTCAGGTAGTAAACGTTATTCATAATAATAATAATAATTTTAATAAAATGGATATGTTTAAAAGGTTCTGTCCTCTTCCATCACAATGACAAAATGTTCAACAGAAATTTACAAAAGAGAGAGAGAGAGAGAGAGAGAGAGCAGTACAGAACAGCACAAGCAAGGCGTGGCGTGTGTCACAGAAGCACTAGCAAGCCGCAGGTACAACATGGCTGCAAAGACCAAGGGCAGGGAAGGCGGAGAAAGGCAGGTGCCAGCACACAGCACGGAGAACAAAACTCCAGCACACACACGCGCACGCGCACACACGTATCACCCCCCAGGGGGGAAAAATGCATGCGGAGCAATTAGTGAGAACAAGCACAAAGCAAGTACCGTCATGGGGCCATCCAGAGATCAAAGGCGCAGTTGGCGGATGGGCACCGAAGACAGGCTCATGCCATCTCCTCCCTAGGCAGGCACAACGAACCTGGGACCTCTCCTGCCCCACATACTGTTTGTGGAAGCTCTGGGCGTGGCTCCCCAGAGCCATTCCGAACCACAACAAGAGCATGTATGTGCATGACAGTCTAGAAGCTCACAGGAGCAATGGCGGGGGGGGGGGAGAAGGAAAGCAGCGAGCCAATTTGCGCTCTTTGCTTCAGGAACCTCCAAAGGTAGGGCTGGTCAAGTAATGCACTGAAGCCCAACTCCAATTAAATCTACAAAACCTGACCCTTTCCCCATGTAGCGCCAAGGGAGGGAAGTGGTGGAAAGCAAGCATGACGCGGTTTGTGTTACTTTCCTCCATCAGATGCCACTGGTTACAGGCATCAGCAAGACCTATCATTGTCTCTGATGCATTTCAGTGTATGGGGAAGAGAAGCAGCGTCCTTAAGGCAGTGTTTGTCCACTCCCATCCTCACCCCCACCCCAAGAAGTGTTCCCTCTAAGCTGAGTTAGTGTAAGCTAGCTCACATTTTTTTAAGCCTCCGGCTCACACATTTTGGTCTTCGCTCAGGAAGGATGGCTCCAGAGCAAACTAATTTATGCCGTAGCCAAACCGCTCGCTCACAACTTTAATGCCAGTAGCTCGCAAAGTAGAATTTTTGCTCACAAGACTCCACAGCGTAGAGGGAGCATTGGAAGCCACCGCTATTTTTGCAGGTGACGGCACAAAGATCCTCGCTGACGGCCCTGCAAGCTAAACCTGCTATTTTACATGAAGGCCAAGAACTCCTCCACTTTGGGCAGCGCATTTTCATTCTTTTTTAAAAGATAGCGATTCAGATTTACACCCTGTCCTGCCCCCTCCGTGTTTATCTGGCTCGCCAGCCTCTGTGATTCTAGTCCCCTCTCATTCATTATCACTTTTACAGAACAGCAATTACGTCAGTATTAAAGGCTTTCTCCTAGCCTGCAGATCCCACATCACAGTGGAACTAGCTGTGCGGGTTTGAGTGAGCAACTCCTTATTCCAAGTGTATCAAAGATTCCATTGCCAGAAAGGGATTCAGCTTTCTGCTGGT